CGCTGGGGGCGAGGGCCGGTCCAGTTCTGTAATTCACCCCCCAAAACCTCCATCGGTTATTCTCGATGGCCCCGAAGCTGGAAACACCCTGTTGATTACTAATTATTTGCTTAAATAATAACATCCAGGGGAGGCCCTTTCCATGCCAAACAGGCGCGTTTTCTTTGAATCCATTACACCTGGGCCCTCGCAATTAGGAAATCTAATTATTCGCCTCATCACTCATTAATAAGAAAAATAGTCCCAGGGTCTTTGCTACTTACAGGGTCTTTGGGGAGAGAGAGATTTTACTACATTAATCAATTCACTTTTATATTTCAACTAACTTTTTTTTTTTTTTTGCAAAGGAGCGTCTTTTCTTTTTTTCTTCTTTTTTTTTTTTTTGCTCTGGGCACGCGGGGCCACTAACCAAAATGTGATAATAAAATAAAATTTAATAAGATATAACTCTCTTCTCAAAAAAAAAAAAAAATCTTTTCGCGTTAAGGCTGGAGCTGCGGGAAAGCCTGGCCCCGCGCGGCTGGGTCTTAGAGCCGCCGGATTCCCCTCGCCCTGATTGGGCGCCGACTCCCCACAGCTGCCTCGTCATTGGTCGCGAAGTTCCCGGAGGGGGCGTGGCCGGAGGAAAGTAAAAACTCGCTTTCAGCAAGTCTACTTTTGAAAATTTTCCCAATCCCTAAAAGGGACTTTGCTTCTTTTTTCCGGGCTCGGCGGGGCAGCCAGTCTGGACCCCGGCTTGCTGACCCTCAGGGCTACCGACCTGCCGGGGGGCTTGGAGAGCCGCCGTCCCCCCTCCTGGCACGGACCCCGGGGCCGGCCTCGGTCCGCCGCGCGGGTGGCGCCTCCGCCGCCTCCCCANGAGAGAACAAGCAGGGCTGGCAGAACAGCATCCGCCACAACCTCTCGCTCAACGAGTGCTTCGTCAAGGTGCCCCGCGACGACAAGAAACCAGGCAAGGGCAGCTACTGGACCCTGGACCCGGACTCCTACAACATGTTCGAGAACGGCAGCTTCCTGCGGCGCCGACGGCGCTTCAAGAAGAAGGACGTGCCCAAAGAGAAGGAGGAGCGGGGCCACCTCAAGGAGCCGCCCCCGGCCGCGGCCAAGGGCGCCCCGGCCGGGCCCCCCCTAGCGGACGCCCCCAAGGAAGCCGAGAAGAAAGTGGTGATCAAAAGCGAGGCGGCGTCGCCCGCGCTGCCGGTCATCACCAAGGTGGAGACGCTGAGCCCCGAGAGCGCGCTGCAGGGCAGCCCGCGCAG